CCATTTGGACCTTGTGCTAATGGCCTCCCACCTCCGGATGGGGAGTCTGAGCCTCTGTGTTGCCTTTGTCTCTTTTGACGCAGTACATGTTCTCTTTAAATTAAAAAGAAAGGTACATCATGCTCAAGGCAGACAGAAAATGAAGCTTTTGCGCTGGACTGTTTGGATGACGCATGTTACGAAGGAGAAATAATTGTTCTGTTTTTTACAAAACCATCGTATTGGTATCATACTGTTCCACCGTTCAGTCGCATCCAGGATGATTGTACAATTGCTGCCACGATCCGTTTCGAAACATTCTCTTCCTTCTTAAATTCAGAAAAAAAAAATTCTTATTTTTTTAAGAAACAATCATTGTCTAGTCTGTGGGGTTTTAGGATATAAGATTAAGAAAATGACTAAATTGATTATTATAATATCTGTAGGAGATCCCAATAAAATAATTTAAATATATAACAAATCCCCCCAAATAAACTAAAATAAAGAAAAAAACAAAGAAAATGACTAAATTGAAAACTACACTTAAAAATGGAACTATGAACTATTTAAAATACTCAAGAGAAAAAATTTAATTCTTTGCATAGCTGAAAAGGAGTATATATCAGTAGATGTTTATTCATATATAAATGTTTATGTACCTATGTATGAGGATATATGGTTTGCATAATATATATGGGAGTTTCCAAAAGTTCAGGGAAAAATTCTGTTATCTTTTCATTCCATTCTCTCACGACCTTTGTAAAGCCCCCTTGTATATTAAATACTTCATCATAGTGTCCCTCCTAACATGGCGGCAGCTCTGCCTGACCCTTCCATCAAGGAGCCACCTGCCATCCACTGGATTCCAACTCATCATGAATATGTACATATGCAAATGCATAGCTATACATACATATACATCACTGCCATCCAGTTGATGCAGTGATGCTATAGGAATAGAATAGAACTGCCCCTTGAGTGTCCGAGACTGTACATCTTCACGGGAATAGAAAGCCGTCTGTCTCCCTAGGGGTAGGCTGGTCCCTAGGAACGGCTGACCTTGTGGTTTGCAATTAGCAGCTCAACTACTTCACGACCAGGACTCCTCAATTATATAGCTATACGCATATAGTTTTCAAGACCGTACATCTGCACAGGAGGAAGCAGCCTCATCTTTCTTCGGCGCCTGGGCTGGAGGGTTTGAACGACTGACCCGGCAGTTAGCAAGTCCCACACTTATTACCTGGCAGCGCCAGCA